TTTTTTTCAAATTTTTACGATATCTTCAAATTTATATGTTATTCAAAAATAAAATAATTATTGTTTTCTTAAAAACACATAAAATTGTATTATAACATCGACAGAGACAAAGAATAAAATAGATTATTAAAATCAAGATGTGTCTCGCTGCATTGCGCGAGTACTCTTCTAGTATATATAAGGTCAAATTCAAATGTTAACCAAAGTTTTTGTGTTAACTTTGTTAACCGATCTTGGTTATTCAATCTTTCAACAAACGGTTGTGATTAATCATGATAAAACTTATTTTTTTAAATTTAAAATTTCATAAAGATAAGTGAGGGTATTTAGGTAAAAAAAATTATGCAACTCCATATCATTAATTAGGATTTACAAAATCAAAAAATTCTATGATTTTGTTAATGTAAGAACCATATGAACACAACTATATATATATATATATATATATATATATATATATATGAACCATTGTGTTAAATACGAACAAAAATTGACATATATATGAACATGGACTGCATAGCATTTATGAACATAATAAGAATAACTGCTATACGAAAGAAAATAAATAAATAAAAACATGTATGAACACAATATGAACAGCTTGTGAACAATAGTTCCTTCATTATAAACACATTCATGAGCGATCCTTTGTCAATTGGAGTTTTATACATGCATTGCATCCACACCGTTTGAGGTTCACCCCTTGTTCATATATGTTTATGGTCTTATGTGATTGTTCCCCCCTTGTTCATATCGTATAAAATATATGAACACATAATCCCGACGCTATGAACACCGGGTGCAAACACTTACACAAATATAAATTTTGGTATCAAACTTAAAAAAGAACACTTGTGTTCATATGATAGAAGTAACATGAACACAATGGTTCATGATTCGTAAAAGTCGGTAATATGATAATATGAAAATGAGTCATGCATGTACTTCCATTTGAACATGTGAATTAGGTACGTATTAAAAATTACAGAAAAAAGTTATCAACGCAATGTGAACTACAAAAAATACAACACATCATAATGAACATAATTTTGATTAAAACGAGTCTAATAAAATATTAATCCATTACTAAGACATTCGCTTTGGTTAATTTCTTCACTTCTTGAACTCGAACTCCGATTGTCACCATAAACCATTTTAATCTTCTCAATGTTGTCGATTTTTTTTCCAATGCGTTTATCCATAATAGCTTGAAGGATACCGAAGATTTTACTACTGTGTTTTCTCCACGAATCAAAAACTCATAAAACAATAAAAATGGAAGATTAAGATTAAAAAATAAATAAATATATCAATATTATAAATGCATATTTTTAGCTATTTTATGATTTTGTAATTTCCCTTTAATGGTATGGGAGTTACATAGCAAATGAAATTACTCAATAACCCTTGACATTAAATTGTGAACATGATAGAAACCTAATAGAAGAATGGATTGTGATTGGTTGACATGGTTTACAAAGTTAACTCAAAAACTTTAATTAACATTTGATCTTCTCCCTCTAAATAAATAAAATTATGGTAACCGAAGTATACGAATCAAGGCTCTTCTTAGATCTCAAGATGAATGATAGTTGGCTAAAAAGGGATATACTAAAATGAAAAAGAATTATCACAAAGCAGTGACAGTGACGGACTTGGTATAGAGCGGTATGGTAGCACGGACCACCGTCTTGTTTCTCCGTTCTAGTGTAAAAGATTATAAAGTCATGAAAACTGTCACCGTATATATTTTGAAACTATAATGAGAACACAATTTTTCCTTGGTAGAGTCGATTTGCAAAGTTTTTCTTCCGACCCAGACCCAAGTTTGAATCACGTTAGTGTCATTTTCATAAGTTTACCTTTTAATTTCAGATTTATGTTTATAAAAAAAATTGCAATAAAAGATTTGAAGGCATGCATGACCTCAAATACGAACAAACTAATGATGATTTTGTAAAATACATTCCTATATTTATTTCCTACAGTCAAATGGTACCGTTACTTCAAAATTTCCTAGGTCCTATCTCTAATCACAAGCTAGAAAAGAGAATCTAAGAAATAAATGAGGAAAGCCAACAAGCCAGGTTTTGAACATACCAAGAATTATATGTGTAACACCTCAAAGATCAAATCCATCCGGATCTAACTTAAAACTATGGTAGAATTTATTGCTAGTCGACAATTTGAAACTTACATAGAGCACGAATCTCATTTTTTATCTATACATAGAACGAGTTGTTACCATATGAAACCGCTTGGAAGAAAATAACTTGTCCCAACTCGGAGAAAACTCGCACCGATATCTACACTTACAGCTCTGTCCATGACTGCATTAACTGAAAAAAGTCGACTTGGGAGGAGCCATTGTCCGCCACCGCGGCCTTTGCTCTTCCGCTCATCTCTAAAATCCTTTCTCTCACCACTCTCCCTTCTTTGCCCTCCATCAACTCCTTCACCTTCTCCTCCACGGATTCCGCAGTTACAAACCCATCCGATGACATTTCCACCGCTAATGCCACCTTTATTTCTTCAACCAAAAACACCCTATTCATCTTCTGCTCTGCATATAATGGCCATGCTATCATTGGCACCCCAGCATCCACCGCTTCTAGAGTCGAGTTCCACCCACAGTGAGACACAAAACCACCCACCGAGTCATGACCAAGTATCGCCAGTTGTGGTGCCCAGTTCTTCACCACCAAACCCTTGTTCCCAATCCTGGCTAAGAACCCTTCTGGAAGACAGGCATCAAGATCGAGCTCTTTAGCACCTGAACTCGACTCATTTTCGTCATCTGGTGGAGGATTGCGCACCACCCACAAGAATCTTTGCCCACTTCTCTCTAGCCCAAAAGCTATTTCCCTCAACTGTTCTTTCTTGAACACACCCATACTACCAAAGCATAAAAACACTACACTTTTACTTGGTTGTGAATTCAACCATTTTAAGCATTCATTTTCGCTAGGATCCACCTGATTGCCACCGGCGATCAAAGGTCCGATTAGATAAATAGGTGGAGTTGGACCATCTGGGATGCATTTACCATCCCGGAGCGCATCAATAGCTCTTTCTTCAAACCCCAGAAAGCTGTTTGCGATGATGCCACAAGATTTTGCCATATTACTAGAAGTGTTTACGAAGTTCTTGTACGAGTTACTTTCTCTATCAAACAAAACCATTGGCATATCCGAAGCATGAATGGGAGGCACTCCAGGAATATCAAAGTAAATGTTTAGATCTTTAATGCTCATGGAAGTGGTGTTGTGGATGGTGGTGAGATATAAGAACTCACAGAGGCCGGAAGCGCCACTGGTGTAGAAGTAGTAAGTAGGTAAGTTGAGGCTTTTAGAGACTTGGAAAGCAGCGTTTGAAAAGAAATCAAGGATTACAGCTTTGATGGTTGATTTCTCCGAGATGGCTATGAGGGTATCGTGGAATATTGGATTGTAAAGCTCTGGGATCCCGAAAGCAAGGTCAATGAAATCAGAAGAGAAATCTGGTGGAAGAGTGATGGTGGGGAGGTGGTGGAAGGTGATGGAAGGAGTGGTGCCAGAGACGGTGTTGATATACTTGTCGGTGGAGCCGGTTTCAAAAGGAGCTGGGATTATGAGGATGACAATAGAAACTGTAGGGTGGTGGGTATGGATGAGTTTTGCCAGCTCCACCATGGAAACCAGGTGGCCGATCCCCGGAAAAGGATACAGAACGACGGTCGCAGACCCCATTTCTGTTTTGTTATTTGTGTTAGATTGTCACAGCTTAAAGAGTTGGGAAGAAGATAAGGAAGTCAAACGTCATAAAAACTGTATATATGTGGATAAGAAACATGCGGAGTGTCTACTTCATGGCCAAGAGTGTTGCCCATATATACACCCAGTTACTAGTATGTTAATACCACAACATGAGATTTTGATTTTAAAATACCCTTTTAGAGGATACATTCTCAGACCCTAGATTCATGTATTTATATAGGCTTGATTGCTTGGGCACTATATGTAAATCTTTGTGTTTTGTTTGGCTTACTGCCTTCAGGCTAATAGCTTAGTTGGTAAAGAGGCAGGATGAATAAAAATCCTTTTGTGGTCACGGAGGTTCAAATGCGGTGACCCCGGGCTATCTGCAAGTAGGTGGTGTCCTGGGATTAGTTGGCTCGCATAACAGGTTGGATATCTAGATTAATAAAAAAAAGAAAAGGCAGGATGACTTTACCTGAATAGATAACATTTTCAATATCGAATCCCTCCTGTTGCTTTTGCAGGTGAGTGAGCTCATGAGATGCCTCCTCATGTGGTGCCAAGGGGGTGCCGGTAATGAGTAATCTAACTTTTTGCCTAAGTTTGAAGTCCTAAATTATAAATAATGCCCAAAATCCAAAAAACGCAGTGGGTCTTTCTTTTAGATCCGGCTCCCCTATTTTGACCCAGCTTAATGCAACTAAGGCCGGCAATGTATTGCATAAGGGTTAATACTTGATTAAAAATAGTGGCTAACACAACTTGTAATTATCCATACCCATACATTACCCACTAAGATAGTGGGTAATGAAACGAGTAATGAATAAATGGTATATAAAATATTTTGAATTACAATAATATTATTAGCCATCAACATATAAATAAAATATAAGTCTATAAATATAATCTTTATTTTATATCTAATTTGTTCCAATAAACATTATTATATTGTTTTAAATGTAATAATATGATATTTTACACAACGATGTAAAATCTAAAGACAAAATTTATGTTTGTAATATTTATTTTAGCAACCCCATATTACTTCACATTTGATGATGAATATAAAAAGAAAATTAAATACCAATTAATATACGTTATACAACATTAATACATCAATACCCACCGTCGTAAATGTTGTATATATAGTCTTCATAGTAAGATTTATAGTGAGCTTTTGTCCCACATAGAAAGAATAGTTGAATCTTACTTATATTGTATTGGTGAGATAGATATGAACTTTAGGCATATCACTTGTCTCATACAAGAAGATTTATACTCATTTTTGTTCCGCATAGAAAGAATAGTTGATCTTTATGCTCATTAGGCATATCATTTGTCTCACATAGGGATCTAGTGATTGATCTTATTGTGTGAATTTTACAAGTATATGAAACAATATTCTAAGGATAATGATCCTTCATGTTTTATTCATAGATTTGCTGCACTATTTGAGCTCCAAACATGGCGTGATTAAGAATTTATTTATCAAATTCAAACGAAAATCATCGATCATCATTAACACATTACTTAAACCATCGATTCCAAAAAAATTCTTGTGCAATAACAGCCTCGTCGAGGCTTCTGGTTTTTAACAGGTTCGGATCATCATCATGATCATCGAATGGTGATAGCTGCCAAATTCTGACGTCTGGAACCACGATTGAGTTGCGATAACTAAAACTCTACAACGTACAATCCATTCCGTAACAACTTACAATCAAAATATCACCACAAACGGTTCTGTTTCGGACGCAAGCTTAACTCGTTTGGCCAAAATCAACAGAGCTCAAAATTCAATTAACATTAACTAACAGAAACACGCAACCACAGATAAACATCTACCGAATTCGTCACTACTAACTTCACAAAATTTGCTAAGGAGCAGTTCATCCAACACGAAATTTATAACAAAATCGAGATGCAATGAGTTTGAGTTTAAATTCTTACCTCGGTTGCGCGTTCTCGTTCTTAATCCACTTGAATCCTTCCATTTCTGCCTTAGATCAACCAATTTCTTCCACTTCCTCTGATTTCGCCCCCGTTTCAACTCATAAGAAATTATGGAGAAAAATGTAAAAAAAAACTTGTATAATTTTGGGCTTTGCCACAAAGCCGAATAGGCTTTCATGTTGATTTACAATTTTACACGTATCTTTGATTTTCGAGTAATTACGATTTTCATTTGGTAATAATATCGATTTTCATTTTTTTTTTGGTTAAAAATTAAGATTTTCGTCTTTAGACGAACTTCGAGGCTGTTTACCAAATGCTTACTCGGGTAAGTGAACACCAAGTCACATTACCTTATCGGATGAATATAATAAGAATCAAGAATCTTACCCGGTAAGAGCGAGACAAGAATCAAGAGTCTTACCCGGTAAATGAGGGCGACGATTCTTACCACTGTAAGCGCTTACCAGGTAAATTGTTACATACGATATCGTTTTGGTGGACTAAAATCTTACGCAATAAGTAAATGATAATGTTAAATTTTACCGATAAGCACTTATTGGTTAAGTATTTGGTGAACGGCCCCTTCCATCATTAAATATCAGGGATTGAAACAATAAGCAATAAACTATAAATCATAAGAACAAAAATAACAATAAACTACAAACCATATATACGAAAATTGCAATTTTTAAATCATATGAACGAAAATCACAATTTTTAACAAATCACCAACCACGAAAAATGTAACTTACACCTGATCTTCAAGAGTCCTCAGGTAAATTAAATGACATTTAATGTGTTTTGATTATATCCGTGACTTTTTTTTTGAGGATTTTAATTTTTTTTTTCTCCAACAAATTTTAAAATAGAGAATTAAATTGTTATTATTAAATCTATATTTAATACTAGTTGGGTGGACAGATCATCGTCCCAAAACTCGAAAGCAACGCAAGTATGCCCAAAAATGGGTAGACCTAACATCTTACTAGTTTGTGGTTGCGTTTTATATGCTTTCACGTGCAAATTAAATTTTAGTAAATACCCATTTTATAAAATGGTTTTCATTTTTTAATTATTTTAGAAACTTTTTTAAATAGTCAAAGTTTATAAAAAAAATTATGTAGAAAAATATTTTCTGCGGACATTTTCTTTTTAGAGAAAAAAAAAAGTTAAAAAAAGAGACTTTATTCAGAAAAGTTTATGCAGAAAATCTAGCCTCTTTTTTACATGAACTGTGTAAAAGGCTTTATAAAATGACTAAAAAGTTACAGTCATTTTATAAAATGGTTATTTGTGTAAATTTCTCCTAATTAAGCATTTGAATTATTTCAAAAGTATTTGAATTATTTTTTTCTTCATCAGAGTCTCATTTCGAACAAATTTACAAGTAAAAGTGGAACATTGGAATAAATTTATCATTTGGGTGTGTCATATTGATTGAGTTTTCGGGGGATGTAGTGGAAAATCTCATTTACCTTGGGTTTGAATCCAGATGTTGTCAATATCTTTCTAGCCATGTAGGTTCACCTACGATGACTACAAGCTTTTTGTGGTCGACTGAAGGATTAATAAGTGTACATAAGCTGGTCTGGAAACCTACAGTTACCTAAAAAACCTTAGAATAAATTGGATATCCAGAGATTGGAACTTGAGAAATCAGCGATTGCAATAGGAACTCTTATAAGTAGCTACGAACCTACGACTAGAATGAATCAGTGTATTACGTTGATTTCCAAGATTTGATCCAGACAAAAAGTTCTAGATAAAAATGCATAGTCAAATGCGTTAGGTTTGTTATAAAGAGATAAAAATGGAAATGGTTATGATAATAAACGATGGTACTAAGATTGAAAAATCAAGCATAAATGATTTTCTATCCTTAAATAATTATTCATTGTATAATAGGAGGATTTTGTGAGAAGAGAAGTTACAGTGAGAAACGTAAAAATAGATCTGATCTCTTAATCACTTTTTATCTCATGTTCATCCATAAATTATGTTTTTGAAGGGAATTAATCTGATGTATCTCGGTGCATCATGCGTTCATTAGTATTGACATTAAATTAAGATTGATCAAAGGGTAAAAAAAATTTACGCTTCTCACCATAACTTCTTTTATCACCGAAACCCAACGTATCACATTAAATAAACAATAAAGGTTGGGCTAAATGTAATTCTATACACCGTTAAATGCACCATATCTACTAATTTCTTTCTTACACACATCAATAAGAAGAAACTTTTGTAGGTATCCAATACATAATTTGACTTGATTCTAATATTAAAAGGAATGCACACAGCATCACCCTCTCTTAAACCGAACATAATTACTTAATGAGTAAATTACATTCTTTGTCCTCGTGGTTTGCTAAATATTGCTTTTTTCGTCCCTATGGTGTAAAAATTACGATTTTCTCTAAGACTTATAATTTATTGTTATTTTCGTTCTTATTATTTGTAATTTATTGTTATCTCTGTGATTTACAATTCGTTACTGTTTTATTTGCTTATACTTTAAAAATAAGAATTACTCCAAATAATAAAAATAATAATAAATTATAAATCATAATAAACGAAAATTATAATTTTCAAACCACATGAACGAAAATAAAAATTATTAACAAACCACACAGTGACATCGTAACTTTCATTTATTTTAACTTATCGTTATTCACCGATTACACACCTCCAACCAGGCACCCTTGGTTACGTGGCGTTCCATGACTGGGTTAACTTACGGAGGTCAACTTGAGAGGAGCCACCATCCACCACCGCCGCCTTTGCCCGTCGACTCATCTCCAAAATTCGTTCCCTTACCACTCTCCCTTCCTCGCCCTTCATCAACTCCGTCACCTTCTCCTCCACCGCCTCCGCCGTCACAAACCCTTCCGACGACATTCTCAACGCCACTGCCACCTTCATTCTTTCAACCAACAACACCTTATTGATCTTCTGCTCCGCATACAATGGCCACGCCACCATTGGCACACCAGCAACCACGGCTTCGAGCACCGAGTTCCACCCACAGTGACTCACAAACCCACCCACCGAGTCATGACCAAGAATCGCCGGCTGCGGTGCCCAGTTTTTCATCACCATCCCTTTATCAACAGTCCTGGCTACAAACTCTTCAAGATCGAACTCTTTAGAACCCGAACTCGATTCGTTTTCATGACCCGGTGGCGGATCGCGTACCACCCACAAGAACCTTTGACCACTTTTCTCTAACCCAATTGCTATTTCCTTCAACTGTTCTTTCTTGAAAACACCCCTACTCCCAAAGCATAAAAACACTACACTTTTACTTGGTTGTGAATTCAACCATTTTAAGCATTCATTTTCGCTAGAATCCACTAGATTGCCACCGGCAATCAAAGGTCCGATTAGATAAATAGGCGGAGTTGGGCGGTCCGGGATGCATTTACCATCCCGGAGCGTCTCAACAGCGCTTTCTTCGAACCCAACAAAGCTATTTACAATGATGCCGGAAGATTTAGCCATGTTACCGGTGGTGTTTATGAAGTTTTTGTACGAGATGCTTTCTCTGTCGAACAAAAGTGTGGGCATGTCGGAAGCATGCATGGGAGGAAGTCCAGGAATATCGAAGTAAAAATTCAGATCATTAATGTCGCCGGAAGTTGTGGTATGGATGATGGGGATATATAGGAGGGAACAGAGGCCGGAAGCGCCACTGGTGAAGAAGTAATAAGTGGGGAAATCGAGGGTTTTCGATACTTGAAAAGCAGCATTTGTAAAGAAATCAAGGATTACACCTTTGATGGTTGATTCATCGGAGATGGCTACTAGTGTATCATGGACGATTGGGTTGTAAAGCTGTGGGATCTCAAAAGAAAGGTCCACAAATTCATGAGAAGATAACTCTGGTGGAAGAGCGATGGTGGGGAGGTGGTGGAAGGTGATGGAAGGGATGGTGCCGGAGATGGTGTTGATGTATTTTCCGGTGGAAGTAGAACCGGTCTTAGATGGTGCAAGAGTAATGAGGATGACAATAGAAAGGGAGGGATGGTGGGTGTGGATTAGTTTCCCAAACTCCACCATGGAAACCAGGTGGCCCATCTCCGGCGAAGGATACATAACCACCGTCTCCGATTCCATTTCTATTTCTTGAGTGTGTGTGTGTGTGTGTGTTATAGATTCTTACAGCTTAAATTAAAGAGTTGGTTGAAGAGTACCAGCTGCCATAAACTTCTTGCGATGTCTAGCATTCATCCATTTAGATATCTCACAATTGTCTCGCCTTAAAGCATGTCGAGTTTTCACAGTACAATCAAACCTACCTCGAGCTTTCAAAAGGACAAACAATCCCACCATCTCATGTTCGTTTATTTTCACGGGACCTACCAATCGATTAAATACACGTAATTCATTTATCCTCCACCTCAGTCTATGCCGTTTTATTCATATAATACCGTAACAATTCTACAGCAAAACAGCAACTGAAATAGCAAATAACAAACCACTCGGGTTATGACTCACTGGTTAAAGCGGGAAATATAGTGTGCAAATCTCATATTCCCAGGATTTAAATCCAGATGCTACCAAAGCCCATGTGGTCACGTAGGTTCATCTACGATGAAGGCCATTTGTGGCTGCCTAGAGGTAGTCAGTGTGCGTAAGCTGACCTAGAAATCCATGGTTACCCAGAAAAAATAAAAAATAACGAGGATGCTAATGATACATTATGTTTCCAGAACAATGGGTCAACCAAATATGGAACCACAGTTCAAATCAAAGCCAAGCCATGACTGCAATGCAAACTTGTACATGAGGGGATTTAAATATTGAATTTGGGGTGAAAGAAAAGACTATGAACAGCTTCAAAGCAATAATCAAGCTAACAAAGAAGAAGGTCCAAGCCAAAACACACAACGCTAATAATTTCAATATTCCCATTTTTTCATTTCCATACCGTCCGGAGGGGTTCCTTCCACCTGCTTCGATCCCACTTCTTTCCAATTTGTCGACAGCACCGTCCCATTCGACTCAACCTGTTTGTACAACCAAAATTCCCCATAGTTAACGGACTATTTTAACAGGAGTTGGCCAGAGGGACCAAAAGTCTAACAAAACGACAACCACATTGACCACAGGCGTAATGATTTCATTAGAGACGAGAATTGATAGTAAGCGACAACCAAGTGAAGAAATGATGGTCTTACAAAAGATTTTCTCATGGCCCTTCTTGTATCCTCATCTGCATCTTTATATATGTCGCGGAAAAATTTGTTAAGAGCTGCATCACCATCAAGTTTTTCATCTTTTTCCTGAAAAAAGGTACTCGATTAGCCAAGCCACACCACCCCGCCCGTGATTGGTGTCTCCTAGCCTTGGGACATATGACATAAGGAGCCATCAGCTCAAAATCCATACCTCCCTTTTCACTTGAGCTTCAATCTTATCCCAGTCTTTGGTTGCTTTTGAGGAAGGATATACAGGTCTTTGATTACCTACATAACAGTAATAAAAACATGATCAGCAACATCCCAAGATGAAGAACGACTTCATGAACAACAAATTACCCACAAACATGATAGCCTCATAATTAGGGCCCTTTATAGAAATCATGGCATCTTGGAGTTGATGGTTTTCAAATGAAACATCTTTTTCAAGGCCAAACTTGCAAAATTGACCTACCTGTAGATTCATTGATCCTCCGTGCAACCAAACTATTTTTACCAAATTCGAGGGATGTCCAGTGTACAGGTTCTGCTTTTGCAAGTCGGATTTCAATTTTGGTTGTGAGAACACTGTATCTGCACTTTGCGGGGATTATCTGTTAATTGAAAAAAGATAACATTTAGAAGAGCCTTGATATAACCTATGTAAATCCTTCCATGTCCCTATATTTCTCCATAAATTGTCTAATCAAGAAAAATAGTGCTTGTTGATGATCTTCCAAGCATAAAACTGAAATAATTTTCCAAGACCTTAATATCAACAATCAATTGACGCCCAATAACCCACTCCTATAGTTTCTTTATATGGGTTATAAACTTCATCACTTGGTGGTTTGTGCAACCTTGGATATCTCATTTATGTTGTATATTGGGACCAAGATACTATTTTTTCTGCCCTTGGTGAGCCATACTACACCCGCTCCCAAGGAATCTCCAAACCTCTATGAGATATGCCTACACCATTCTTGGGTCTTTCCCTCACCTCCAACACTCTGATATCAAGTGCAAACACCTAAAGGTCTGTACAGCTAGTAATGGGATTTTATTCCATAAAAAAATTGTGAATAGGCTCTCATATTTAGTGGAATGGAATAAATATAATTCACGCAAAGAAATGATTAGTTTGTTGAACTGTTAGAATGTAAGTTAATGTCTATCACCTTTGCAAACAAGCGAGGCTGGAAAATGTATGAATCTTCCCCAGGCAAGTCAATAGTTACACTTAGCTGGAAGGCAACAAAGATCAAAAGAGCCAGAAATGATAATCACTTCTTCATGGAATAGCCAAGCAACTTGAAGAAAAAGATCATGCTGAATATATAAGCATTTGAGGATAAGTAGAATGCCCACATACTATTTGCTCCCCAAAATTGACAAAAACACTTTCAGCCGGTATTCTCTTAGCAAATATCGTCACTACGACCTCCTCTGGTTTCTGATAAAATTCATGCCTGCAGAAACATAACTTGTAGGTGAGCTACACATCTGCAAAATAACTAAAAACAGGTACTGCTGAAAAAGATATCCTTCAGTTCAATGAAGAATAAGTAAATGGGAAAAATCAGATCTACATAGTTGGTCACTCTATATCCAATTGAAGAGTCCTCCATTTCTAATAGATTAAACAATCAAGCTAAGAATCTAATTTTCTAAAACTTGTATGTTGCCTTAGATCAAAAGAAACCTTCAGATAGGAACCGTTATGGGAGACATATAGAAAGAACCAAATTCCACAAGAGCTTCTTTAACATCCTCCAATGCAATCAGAATCAAGATCAAAAAACAATCTACATATCAAAAAACTGACATCACCCATATCACCAAAATGCAATTAATAATTTGTTCTTAGGATAGCTAAGCCACAAAATTGAAATCACAATATCTTAACAAATCAAAGCAGACACTCTAAAGAATCAAAGTAGAATGACGAATTTACAAGAAAAATAAGCACTAACAAATTATGCTGGCAACTAAGATATTCACCAATAAGACCCAGACCTGTATTTTGGTTTTGCTGGTGTTGTGGTGATCACCTCGCTAGATATATTCTTTACTTGCTCAGCATTTTTTGCAGTCGCGTCGGTTTTTCCCAGTGAACTAGGAGCCACAACATTAGTAGGGGTTACATCCGATGACTTCATTGGTAGCTCACCAATTTCCTCTGTTTTAGAAATTAAACACCCATCATAGAAGGCAATAGCATGTGCACTTAAAGTGTAACAAAATGGCTCTAATTCCACATGATCATTGGTTTTGCCATATTTGGGTGTGTGTAAATAGCATGTCTATCAATAATTAAATACCCATCATAGAAGGCAATAGCATGTCAACTAATAACTACCTGCAATGCACTTGTCACACTCTTTTATCCAATCTGTGAATCTTGTATCTTCTGGAGCTAATCTAGATCCCAATTGAAAGGCTGTTTTGGCAGTCTGATATTCTTCAAGATTGAAACATGCCATCCTGTAAGTCAGGAAAGAGAAGGTTATAATAAGATATTTGAAGAAATAAAACATGAACATGTTCACACAAAAAAGCATGGGCTAGTAGCAAGGGATACTAGAGAGTGCGCCCACCAAATTATCAAGGTGCATGACATGGCATGTTTTGAAGGTCAAGACTCACCACATTAATGGGCATCAGTGGAAAATGGCATGAACAAGATGCACCATGGAGCCAAAGCACGATGAATTTTGGCATGGTGCAATAAGAGAATTTCAAAGTTTAGGCCTAATCTAACATAACTAAAATCTAAACTCTTAAGCTATTTGGGTTTTATCATATGGTCATGCATAAATCCTTCTATTGAACCTTATATGAGTACAATACAATAAGCAAAAATAAGTGGCATGAAAAACAAGATCTAATCGCTAAGTCTTTAATGTCATTCTCTTTTCATAGATCTTCAACATCTATATCCTATTAACAAGTGAATCTTGGGAATGGTTCTCTACTTCTCCAGTCAACAACAGCTCATATAGCTTGGGCAACTCACAGATATCTTCTCACACATTTTCTTTGCAACTCTCTCCACTATATCAGTTACAAACGGTTATAAACGTTAATGGATAAGACCAAGAAAAACGTGCAGATCCAGAGCTCTGACGTATACGTACAGAGATAACATTCCAGAGATGATCGTTAGAGTAACCAGAGATAGTGCTATTTCTGGTCTTACCAACCAGAGATGGTCCTTAGACTAACCAGAGATAGTGCTATCTCTGGACCTACCAACCAGAGATAGTCTAAGTCTGAATAACACTTGGTCAATTCTACAAAGTCTGATCACGTTTTTCCACTGTATTCTAACTCCAAAATTCTGTAGAACTTTTTAGAGGGACCACCGCCAGGAACGCTGCCCCTTGAAAGCAAGGGGGCGCGGCCCCCTTGACCCCTGCCATTTTGTCGTATCTGGAATCAAACTCGTCTTATATACAAGTGTGCACTCCGCACCACCTACCTTGGATTAGATCACAATTTGAAACCCATTGGCACTCGTGTTAATTCCAATACACTTAAATAGCCGGTGACACTAAATCACCAACACACTTGAGCTTTGACCAAATAATAGAACCTATAGTACTTTCCGAATGAAAGATTGATCTGAAATTTTGGCAGTCAATAATCTAAAAACTCAGAGGATTCCTTGCAACATTGTCACACTTCAGAATTCAGATGCTGGTTTTCTCTTCAGCCAAGCTATGAAAGGAACTAATTATGAATACTATTAAAATCATGCAGTAACAATAATTTCATTTGCAATCACCACATGAGTTAGAATATTTTTCATTCCACAACAACCAAAAAAACATTGCTTGCTTTTAAGAACATTATGAACGATACACACACTAAATGCATTGTAAAAACTGGGTAACAATTATCACGGGTTGTTCAAATGAGACACTCACCCTTTGCGCAGGTATGCCTTTGGATTTGAGGAGTCCAGTTCAATTGCTTTGTTTGCATCAGCAACAGCTTCTGCTCCACAAAAGAGAATCAAAAAGTATCGTCTCAGGCAGGCACGATAGATAATACTAAAATCAATCAGAAGTAAACAGTAGGTTCATCCCTGTTAGAACATATCTAAGTAACATAACCCATACTTGTTACCACCAACCAGTCCGCATGCTCATGAAGCAAGTACTCCGTCCACATATGCAGGACCGACGAAAGCGAAACAGTGACTCTTTTCCTTACAGTAACAAAAACACAGACACAAAGACATTCGAAAGCGATAGCACTCAAGTTCCAGTAAGAGCGAGATTCAAAGGCATTATGTTCACCGATTTACAAATCAAACCATACAAATAACAGAATTACGAAAAAAATCAGATTAGGTTAGGATTATCCACAGCAAGTCGTAGCAGTGTGTTCTTCGTAATAGGATTGCGAAAAGAGAGGAGATATACCGGTGAAGTTTTTGAGTTTTATATTAGCCTGAGAACGGTCGGAGAAAAGCTCGGAGTTGTTAGGGTTGATGATGATGGCCTTAGAATAGAGGTCAACAGCGAGTTCAAAGTGATCGTCGATGAAAGCCTCCTTCGCCTTTGCCGCGAGATCAGACGCCATCGGAGTTGCAGAACCCTCTGGAAGATGGTGGTTTCTGAGGGAAAAAGAACGGACGATGCTTGACTTGAAACGTTAACCAAAGGTTTACAAATAAAGGGTTCCATGGGTCGGATCACAAAATAAACTATAGTCTCTTCGTCAACGCTTAAATTATAAGGGGTGTTTTGGTCATTAAGTAAATCTTTTATTTTCTCAAGTTTCAAATACCTTCTAAATTTTTAACAAATATATGTTTTTTAAATAATTAATTACGTAATTATATTTATGTAACATGATGTTAAACTCTAATTAAAATTATGAAAATTAGTTTTATAAAATTTAAAATAAAAATTTAAGAAGTTATATTTATACACTAAAATTTTAAAAGATTTTATAAATATGGAATAAATATTTTATAATATAGCAAAAGTTATTCTATTTATTTGGGTGTATAATTCTTTTTAAAAAGCGCAAATTACATGAAAAAAAAATAACATAATTCTTATTTTGGATAACGTATTTTTAGAAATTTCATTTTGGTACCTAAGATGTAAAGTTTTAAATATTTAAGTATCTGAGTAACCGATTGAAGCATTAACCGGTTATCATGCTGATGTGATAAGTGATGTGGTATCCAACTCAGTACTATTTGCTGATGTGGTTAGTGACATGGATTTTTTAATTTAAAATTGATTTTTTTAATCTAAAATTAGTCTTCAACCGGTTATCCAGGTACTTAAATGTTTAAAACTTTACATCTTAGGTACTAAAATGAAAGTTTTAAAAATACGTTACCCAAAATATGAATTAAGTTTAAATAAACTTTTTCATGCAATTTGTCTTTTTAAAAACATTTAACAAATAATTATAAACATATTCAATTCGCTTTTATTTGCGATCACAAAGACAAGGAGAAACCAAGCCAACGGTGCTTTGAGGAAATGACTGGAAATGGAAAACAATATGCAAATGCATACAACACATTTAAACCCACCTGAAAGTTTTATTATTCTAAAACCAAATCAAATAAATTTCACATAAAAAGTTAAAGCTTATTTGACTCTTATAAATCAAGTGTTAACGGCAACCGTTAATTCTTTTAATATAACAAACAAGAACTCTTTGCAAACTTAACGGCATAACACAAGCTCATTTTTAACTTGAGGGGATTGTCGATTCATCTTTCTTAGCAGTGGCCTTCGGTGTTCCAGTCATGGCAGCCTCCAGCGTCTTATAGAACTCCTCGGGAAGAGGACCAGGCCGGTGTAGTGGCACATGCTTTGGAACTGGGGCGTCGTTTTCGATTACTTCACATTCATAGTCGTCCTCGACACCCCATGGATCCCACTCTGCAAACCAGTGCGATAAATAATCAAATATCATACAAGAATGATGACAAAAACGATCTTTAAAAGAAATGTTTTTGTAACATTATTCCAGCAACAACAATGGGTCCGTTGGCGAGTGGGGTCCAATCCAATCCAACCCATGGTCAAATGGTGCCACCGCTAGGAAATTTTTCTGGGTCCGCCTCTATATGGAATTGAGAGAGGCGTAAAAGTGTTCCCATTTATAGGAAGTTAAGAATCTATGTTACGCACATGCCTCCTAACAATATTACTGTCAAACTCACCACAATTTCTAACGATGTGAAACAATACACATTTGCTCTCCACCTGATTAAACCACTTAGAAAAGAAATAAGTTTGAAGTTTAGGTCATATACGCTAAATGGGAACCAACTGTCAAAACTTCTAACTTTTGGGAGCCAAAATGGAACAAACTTTGCTTTCGTTCATATTTTGTATTAAGCAATAACTAATAAGGATGAAAATAAGAGAAAGTGTTTGGTTTTATATAATATAATAGGTCGATTCTCCCACACCCAAATTTTCATTACAGGTTAAATGGGGGAATGAAAAGTAATTCTCTATCGTTTTCATTTTCATTCCCCGGCCTGAACCAAGCATCCCCTCAAAGTTAGTTCCACAAAATGAAATGAAAGCAAAGTTGGTTCCATTTTAGTACAATTTGCATAATTGTAGACGGAGATGGAGATGGAGATGGAGATGGAGATGGAGATGGACCAGTAACCAGTCCTTTTCAACCACTGAATTAACAGTAAAAAGGAATCATTGTTACTCCTACTTTCATTTTCCTCAACATCAGTGGGAAAGTTGAACTAAAATTCATCATTAGTGCACTTGGTACCTTACAATTCGACCTCCACCGGGCCTATGACCAATGCATATAGTTGTGGTAGGAGTAATGACCAAATTACATAAAGAGTATCAGTTGGCAACCATTTTGTCCACTACTACCACCCTCCACATCCCATCACCTACCTCCATCCTTCTCTCCAACCTCTTTTATCTAATATATTTTGTTGACAAAACCAAAAGCAACAAAGGGTATATACACATTTTCATTCGTTAATTCCTCATCTCCATAATAACCCCCATGAAATTCAAAAAAGAAAAATCGGCTTTGATTGGGCCTTCACCATCCTGGTCCTTGGTCCTTGACCAGTCTTCTTTATAACAGGTGGCCCTAACCAGCCCTTGGTCTCAGGCTTAGGCCCGGTTTATGCATCTATAATTGTAGCCATCCATTTTAGCTTGACTTTAATACCTGCATCTATAATCCATGGACATATCCAATATTACCACCCGACTCACGGCAATTAGAAAAATCGTGTAATGTAATTCACATTTTCTCTCCTCATGAGTATGCTCTCCCCCCTCAAACAAGAGAGAAGTGGCAAGTTTGGTGGAAACCATAGCTTAATCACATAGGACCTGCGGCGTAGAGAAACTTGATAATGCTGGTAGTAGAGGTGGTCATGGTTCTTGCTTCACGAATTACTATTATCAGATCTGATAATTACTATTATTTCTGATAAGGTGATAGTTTCATAGATCGAGAGGTAAACTGTGATTGCTATCATCATGATGATAGAGTAGACAAAGATAGTTGTGGAAAGTGCAAGCTGAAAGGAAAGGAAAGAAAAGGTTGCACTTCACCATCAAGAATTTGCTTGGTGGTATTTGGTCCCATGCCCATGCTCATGCCCATGCCATAGGTGATAAAAATTTAAAGATCATAGGGTCAAATCTTCATTTCCCCTTGCCTTCTCAAAAAACAAATGCAACACAACCTTATTTCATAGATTGATTGTTTTCTTTCTTTTCAAATTGACCATAATTCTTTTTCTAAAGCAAAATCCTTCAATCCAATGTATATAAGCTTTCTAACTAAGATTTCATGTCCCCATTGCCCAATCATTGACCTTCTTTGTTGCTTGATTGACATCATCATTGTTAAAAAGATAAAAGAGAACTGGTATCCAAACACAAAACCACTGACCTACATAACACCCAAACTAAATAGATTATGAACTAAATAAGAATGCCCATGGTGTCTTTTCAACAATTTAGTCCTTCCCATTCACCTAGCAGCTGTTTTACCGCTATTAGAAATGAGGGCCAAGTGGTTAACATCAAAGTGATCAATTAATTGTTTAAGATCACTTGATGTCTAAATCATTTAAAGTTTTGATTCTTTTGAACTCAAATTTCATGAGGAGGCAACAATAATGCTGTAAGTTACAGGCCATGAAAGACGATGCATTTAGGATTTTAAAGGAAATATTGGCACCCATGCCAACATGTTACAAATGTTGATTCTAGTTTAAATTAGAGTACAAAAACTATATATATGGACCATAAAGAGAGGTGGAAATAAAACTGAACCTATGGGGACGTTTTGTTCACGGAATTCGAAGGAATTTGATGGAATTGGAATGACAAATTCCTTTAATCAAATTCTAATTCCTTTGTTTGGTTCACTTCTTGAAATGGACGGAATCCTTCAAATTTCATTGAACTCCAAAAATCAATGAATTTGTCATTCCTTTCATGGACGGAGCCACTTTGGAGCCAGAAGTGGCATCGGCTCCCCTCAAAATTTAAAAATAAAATTTGATATAGTCTCAACTTCAATTAATTACCCACCTGAAACTTTATTTATTCATATTAAATTTTTTTTTCTCTTTATAAATGCCAAGTTTTCTAAAGGTTCTAAATAAAACACGTTACTTTATTGAATACACGAATTTTTTACGATAAATTTCATGCATCTTTAAAGGGCTTTTCTTATTTATATGTTTGTATAAATATAGACATAGTTATGTTGTTTAGGTCAATGATGCATTTCAACTCTTTTTTATAACTATTTTTAAAACAAACATTTAATTAGAAAACGCATGTCCTTAAAAGGGTTTTCTCAACCTTGAAATTGTGAATTTTCTTACTTTTTTTCTAGGCACCACCTAGATAAATTTTCGGACTCCGCCCCTAGCATAATGGACGGATTTGAATTCCATCCTTTTGTGTCCAAATTTAACCAACACCGACCACCATGCCACTATTGTTGTGTCACAACTACCACCCACCCCAACCCTCCCCGCCCCCACCTCACCGACCACCACGCTACTGAAAGATTACATTCCAATTCCTACCAACCAAATGCGTGGTCAAAATTCCATTCCAATTTCTTCAAAGTCAAATTCCTTTGATAAATTCTAGTTCCACCAAATTCCATTATGAGAACCAATCGCCCCCAGAATGTATCAAAAACTTGTATGAATGTCAAAAACTTGTCTGAATGTCACAAAATTAATGCACAATTTATATGAGTGCTATTACCAGCTCACAGTATCAAGAGTTCTCGAAAATGCAGTCAGATGATGACAGCCGGAAAGACATACTATGGTCAAATCATGAACGGCGTTAGGAGGTACATTATTGACGAATAACGAATTAAACTGAAACAGATTCTATTTTTTTCCAGAACAGAATAGTAACTATGCAACACTGATCAGGTGAATTAGAATCAGAAGTGAAGCCAATCCAGTCGATATATTTAACTAATTAAGCTCCAATTCCACTTTGAAACCTTAAATTCCTTGATCCAAAGTTCAAACACCATCTCAACTCATCTGATGTTTGAAATCTTAGCACTCGAATAGACACTAACTTAGGCCATTTCTAAACTCAGTGTAATAATTCGCAAAACTTAGCGGGCAAGATCGGGAAGTGGAATATCACCCTCGCAGTGTCTATACGCTTTAAAACATTCGAAATAAACAAACCTAACATATTCATTGCCATATCTTCCTAGCCAGTATTAATTGTGTGATACAATGTATAAAACTGACAATTCAGATTGAGAAAATACACAAAAGGTAGAGAGGAAGAGATAGTACGGACCGATCATTTTGTCGATGAGTTTGAGTTCATCCTGAGCCTCTTCAATGAGTTCTTCAACTTGACCGCAACCAAGTCGTTTCTCGATGGTTTCCCAATCATCTTCCTCTTGACAGACCTTGAGACGGTGGCGCGTGAAACTCTCGACAGCTTTACGGTAACCCTCGTCTTCAGGTACACGCTGGATCTCCTTTAGGGTTTTATCGTAAAGACCAATTAGTACCTCCCTGGCGTTCGGAACCACCTCGAGACCGACAATACCTGTTGTTTCCTTCACCTTAGCCATCATCATCAATGACGACGGCCTTGCAAACCTCCGTAGAAACATCTTCCCAGTCTCCCTGAGCTGTCTCCGATCACTTTCAGTTTGATATGACTGGGGTCTGGAATGGGAATTCCCAGAACCGCAGTGATCTTATAGGCCCAATAATCTACAGATTCAAACTCAGGCCCAAACGACTTTTGAAGAGGGGTTAAATTCTTATTTTCACTTCAGAATTCAGATTAGTGACGGCTAAACCCGCCCGGCCTGGACTGAAATCTAGGACGGGTTATGGATTTGGAGTGTTTTGTGGGATCGGTTATGAACCGGTCTGGCCCGGCCTAATTTTTTAAAAAATTAGCTATTTTTTTTAAATGTAGCTATTATTTTGTAAAATTTGTATTTTTTGCTTTCTAAACACTATATATAAGTGTTTTGATTGAGGGATTTACATACCAAATTCTCAATTCGCAAAAAAATGTTCACAATTATCGGTTTCTCGTTATATTTTGTAAGACAATGGAATTTTAATTATAATAAAACGCATTTTTAAAGTGTATATGAGTGATCCAGTTACAAATTTTATAATGTATTAAAAATATATATCGTTAAAAAGATAAAAATAAAATTTATAATTTTTAATGACCGGAACTGGGACCGGCGGCCCATAACCGGTTACAATAAAGCTTGATCAGGCTCAACTTTTTTGACCGAGACCGGTGGCCCATAACCGGTTACAATAAAGTTTGATCGGGCTCAACTTTTTCGACCGGGACTAAAACCGGTTATGAGAAATCTTGAGACCGGTTAGGACCATCCCGGCCTGGCTCAGGACCGGTGTTTGGCCATCACTACTTCATATCGATAAAAAGTAAGATTAAAGTTGAAATCATAATCAATAAGAATAAAACATCTGGATCAAGTTCAATTTATAGGTGGTTAAGGAGAGATAGGTTATAACTAATTCATAACCGATCAAACCAGCCGGTTAATCCAACCAAAACCCATATCGCTCTCACATCTACTTAATGCATTTGGTAGAGATGGCAAAAAATTGGGCCCAGGTAATTGTTTTTCGAAACCGGACCTGTCGTAGCAGGTCCTAGTTCCGACCAAAACCCATTACTCGATTTATGTTCCTTGTAACTAGTCTTGGTCCCAATTTTTTTCTTCCAAAATCAATTTTGAACGTATAAAAATCATGTTTGAAGATTTTTGATTTTTTTTAGACATAACTTACTGAAATGTACACTTTAAATCTCTAATTGACTCATTCAGATACACTTTAAAAATATTTTTTAAATATTTTTTACACAAAATTTTAATTTTCGAGATTTGGTACTGGAACACTTATAAGAATTTGAAAAACATCAAAAAAAATCTTAATAAGCTTTAAAAAGAACTTGAAAATCTTGTAGAAATATTGAAAATTTTGATATTTAATTTTTAAAAACTTCTTTTAAAAAAAATTTAGAACTATGTATAACCGGTCCCAGTCTCATAACTAATCCAGTCAGTATATGTATTCATGTTTGTTTAAAATAGATAAATTTTTTGTGCACGTCTTATATTTAGTTGAATGATGTAATCTATATACCTGATGAGAAACACATTTGATGTATCAAAGGAAAAAGTATGTTATGGTATATTCGTTTTTCGATAATTAATCATTATCAACCCAACACTTACCTCATAAGATTTATCGTCCACACTTACCTTATCGGGTAAAACTGCTGTAATCATTATCATCTTTGACTAAATAGGTAAGAATTTTCACCTTCACTTATCGAGTAAACGTATAATATCGAAAGTTTTTTTGATGAACACTTATCATCTTTCACTGGATAAACACTTCTTACCCAATAAGACGTAGTAATTGTTTAGTTTCATCTTCAGAGTTATTAAGTGTATAATAAACAACCCTTTACATTGCACAAAAAAATGAAGTTTTGATATTTATTAAACGAGTATAAAAAAAAGATAGAATGAAAACGGGGTGTTACATGTTATTAACCCTTAAAAAATTGAACAAATAACGGGCATCCACACATACATTAGGAAAATAAAGGTATTAAGTACCTTTGGATTAGTCTGCTTGCACAATGGATTATATATCTAGGTTAATTAAAAAAAAATATTAAGGCGACAATTTAAAAAGTAGAGTATTTTACTATTTCTTTAAGAAAAGTTATTTTTGTCATTTCCAAAAAGCGACGTCGTTGAGAAAAATAAAGTATATTTATTTTATTTTATTGGAAAAATTTCTAAAAGGACGACGTCGTCCCATTACTATCGGACTAGAAGAGTAGTTGGAAGTCTATTTCTCCGTCCGATCAGCCCCCACTCTCCTCCGTTGATCGGAGGCCATGGTGGAGGACTACGAGGCTAAAAGCTACCACCGCCACCACCATTCAGGTTTCGAAACCTCTTTAATACTTCTTCATTCATGACAATATTGGGATTAATGAGGATGTCTTCGTTGTATTCATCTTCGTCGTTGATTTCACCTTCATCTTCCTTGAAAGACGTCGTCGGAGAAAAACTTGAACCAGACGCCGGAGAAGATGAAGAGCACGGAGGATGTTCTAGAATGACGGCAGGCGGTTTGTTGTTGTCCGTATTGAATTTATTACTCCTGGTGCTACCGGCTAGAGAACTCCGGTGAGTGGGTCGAGGGTGAATGTGTTCGCCGGAGTATGAAACGATAAAGATAGCCGGATCCATCGGGTTACGCTCCACTTGTTTCTTTGCCCCACATGCTTTCGTCGTGCTACACCTATAATAGTTTCTAAGATTTTCCAAAACATAATAACCTTTAATAAAATTAATTCCACAAAATTAAAATAAGATCATTAATATTATATTAGAAGGGTACTCGTACAATATAGGGATATAGAGAGATACATCTCGATTTTAATATTTCTTTTTCTTTTTCTTAATTTAAAAAATGATATGAAATAGAGAAAGTGGAGAAGAGAACCTTGGATAGGGGGAGCCTTTGATGGGTTTTTGGCCATATTTCCTCCATGCCCACAAATCATTGTTTAATTCCTCTTGTGTCAATTGAAACACCATCTTCTCTTGGTTTTTTCTTCAAATATTGTAAACAATAAGCATGTTAGAAATCTTGTTTACGGTATCGTGATGAATCAATCGAATCAAACTCCGATCGTACTTTAGATCATGTAAATTACTTCAACACTCAATATCACTTATCAGTGTCACCAAAGATCAGGCACTAAAGCTAAGCACTGAATTCAGGATACTGAACTCTCAAACACTGAAGCTGACTAATACAATAGTGGGACCACCGCAAGGGTGGTCTAGATACTCCGGGTTCAAGTTAACTTACAAACAAGTGTCTATTCGATACTTTCTAACCAGTATTGTATATTTATGTACAGGCGTAATTTGCTAACTAATTAATTAGTACTAAATTTACAAACTCATCCGAGCTGTTAATTTTTTTGATCAACGACTATAGTTAAATTGGAGGTTATAAGCTCATGTAAAATGAAAGAATTAAATGAAAAGTCGATCTTAAAACAATACCCAAAACTCCATCAATCTATTGTAAATCTCGATCACGTACATTAAACGACGGATGACACTAAAATCACCAACGAAGCAGAATCATGATAGAAAAATGGAATTTCAAACAAGCTCTAAATATGGAATCCAATTAGAATATATAAACAACTACCTCTTTCTGGTGCGTGTAGATTGAGAATTCATGGCATGCATTGAAAACGAATGAGAATCTGTCAACATCGGCATTTGCTCATGAACAAATCCTTCTCCGTCTATATCAATGGCGGCAGCAGAGGTGGTCGGTGGTAGTGGCTGCCGCCGACCACACCCTGCATTGTAGACATCCTCCAATCCGCCGGAAATGTTTCTTGCGTTTTCACCAAAAGTCGGATAGACAAATGGGTTGCCGTCGTTCCCAGAGGCCAAACTTTCCAAATTATAAGAACGACCATCGTCGTAATCATCCACGGTGGTTGCCTTCACGGCTGCGGTGCTGCAGCTCCTCACCACCGCATGCAAATCCCACTCGCCATCCATGGTGGTGGCGCTGACTTTAATTATATATATATATATATATATATATGTGTGTGTGTGTGTGTGTATAGAGAGAGAGAGAGAGAGCTAATGGGTGGATGAAGGTGTAATGGGGGTATATGGTTATATATATAGAGGGAGGAATGTGGGTTACTGCTGTAAACCGGTGATCATGTGTGTTAATGGTTGACATTTTAGTATATAACAGATTTAAATAAATAAAAAGAAGTCAAAAAGGGGGCCGCTTTCTACTTTGCTTTCACCATGCCAACAATGCGATTGGATTGGATGTATGTGATCTGGTGCGTGTGGACCATCTCACGCTATCAAAACAAAAGTGAGTCTCGTAACGAGTCGTTTATTAAATACTTAATTACTAAGTGTTCATTCGATAAATTTTCTCATCGGATAAACATAAGTAGGGTCAATAATCTTATCGGGTAAGAGCGATGATAATTATGGAGAGTTTTACCCGGTAAGTGAGGATGACGACTTTTATCCAGGTAAACACTTACCTAGTAAATTGTTGCATTCGATATGTTTTGATGTACTAAAATCTTACGCATCAAAATAAATCATATTGTTGATTCCTATCGGTAAGTGCTTACCGGGTAAGCAATTGGGTAAATGGCTCCTAAGTGTTTGGTTAAAGGTATTAGACACTAATTAATGAAAATAAAAATAAAATAAACTATTTGGTTTAATATATTATAATTGGCTCGCTCCCCATAAACCCAAATTTTGATTTCAGGTTAAACTGAAAGAATGAAAATTCATTTCCATTTTCATTTCCCGTCATTTTCATTTCCATTCCCCTGAACCAAATACCCCCTCATTTTTCTTCATTTCATTCCTCCACGGGGTTGTTAATTAATTATATTTTTTAATTAATTATTATAACATGCCCCATAATACACAAGATTATATGGGGTTGAGTTTTTGTGATAAATGTTATTTTCTCGTGAGAAGTACGAGTGCCTTTACAAAAACCGGTGAAGGTACATATATTCTTAACATTCATCATATTCACAAAATATAATGTAACATCTGTATAATATAAATTTAACTTCATAATTTATTGCGGTTTTCATCAAAAATCTTGATCCTAAGTATTTTATTCTAAGTTTGAATTCCTCGATCAGTTCTTTCGTATTTGGACCATTTGAGAAGAGTGTATTGGTGAAGTGGGGTGGTGTCGTTGAAGGAGGAGGGGAAGTGGTCAGAGCTGTGGTGTTGTTGGGGGCGATGGGTATATGTTTTTAGTATATAAGATATAAAGAAATGATTATACATAAGATTTGTACAACAACAAAATAACTGAAAAATCATACACTTTTATAAGTCGAAAACATTAACAAAATAAAAGAATACGAGAACAAAATCATACATAAAATCAGTAGTGATTCATATGACTTTGGATACTGCTTATGGTTGCATGCTAAATCGTCTGCTCACTATTTACATTGATCATGTTCCGTAATCAGATGTATTTTTGGCTTTGATCATATTTAGTTTGTCTAAATAACTTTATAAATATCATAAATAGGGATTCCACTTTTTTATATCTCAATTTTCTTTGTGAATGGCCCAATAAGATCCTCTGTGTGCATGGACCCAATTTGTTGGTGCTCCAAACTTTTATAGATTTTTCCGGAACTAAATCCCACCCCATTCCCGACAATCATTCCCACAAAAAAGAAACACACACACATATATATATATATATATATATATATATATATATATCTATACTATATTATAAAGCATTTGACTAAAACTCTTAAAAACTCTTAAACTCTTAAACTCTTAAAA